AGAGACAGAGAGGGGATCATCTTGTCCCCTACCTACCCCATCAATGACTGGGACATTTCCCACAGACCTCACTTGTTAAGGATCCACTACTTCCCAATAACACATGGGCCTCAGGGACAGTTTCGGTCCAAACTATGACTACTGTTATGGGCCAGGTATTGGTTTAGGGACTGAGGCACAAAGATGGCTAAAATCATGGTTCCCTTTCTAGAGGAACTCTGTCTGGGAGGAGGAGGGAGGCATGTATGTCAATGAATAATGGAGACGAAAGAGAGGCTGTCTCCTAAGTGTAGTAACCTGAGAGGGGTGGGAGACAGGACCGTGCATAGTTGTCCCCACCTGAGTGTGTCCTCCAGCAGTGTCACCTGACCATCTCCAAAGGACACCAAGCTTATTCATGCTGGCACTGCTCCCTTCTCTTGTCTGTTTGACACCCCCCCCGCATTTAGTGTTCAAATTAAAGACCATATATAAATCATATACTGTCCGAGTCTGAGTCCCCATTTCATCTGTTCCTTATTGGAGCCCCAGAAGGCAATTCAACTGTGTTCAAGATCCATATCTTCCCAGTGATATACAAGCAAGGACTTGTATTCATTTCTCAGATCCCAGTACAATGATTGACATGTGACAGGCCTATCATCCCCACTGTTAATTTAAATGAGATATTTAGGCTGAGTCATGAAGATAAATAGACCAACTGAAAAAATAAAGGAGGGAGAGCTGTAGACATTGCCCTATTTTGTTAGCATGGTTCCATTTGATCCTTATTACCACAGTATAGCAAAAATACCTCTATCGTCCATGTTGCAGAAGAACATTGCAGACATGGACATTGCAGATACCAGCTGTTGCATATACAAGTTCAAAAGAAACTTCAAAACCATGACTGGTTGCTGGCTTTTTTGTTTTGTTTCAGGTTTTTTTTTTGAGACAAGGTTTCTTTGTCTATCATTGGGTGTAGTAAAACTAGCTCGGTAGACCAGGCTGACCTCAAACTCACAGAGATCGCCTTGTCTCTGCCTCCCAAGTGCTGACTCATGATGAGGTGTTTTTTTTTTGTGGAAACATGAAAATAAAACTGAAAGTGCTCCTTGGATGTGTGTTTGGAGTCAGTAGCCTGGCTGTGGATGTAGGCTCCTACCTGCTACCATAGTGGGCATCAGTGGTCTTGAGAAAATGGGGAAAAGAGTGGCATTGTATGGAGTGTGCTCTGGAGGATTGGCTATGGCCAGCTCAGTAGCAGAAAATACAATTAGCTAGGTCCCCCTTCTGGGTTGTAGCCAAGCCATTTCTTCTAGACCATGCAGAGATGTCATCAAAATTCTCTCATTTTATTGTTTTGTAGATACCAAAAAATTTATCAGTGATCTTATCCAATCACTACAGCTACAGTTTGCCCCAAGACTTCTGGAAACAGCAAATACTGTTAGGGTAGAAAACCAGAATGAACAGAGTCTGAAGGAGAAAGTGGCCATTTCTCCGGGGAAACATTTTCTTTTGGAACACAGTGGTTTCCTGGATGATCTAAGGAAAGAGAACCCGGAGACGGAGATTCATTACGATGCTGCCACTCAACACCTGTGCTTTAAGGGATCTCGTGTAGATGTGTATAAAGTAAAGTGTGACATCCAGGAAAAGGTGTATTCCATGCCTCAGAAAGACGTCCCGATTCCTTCTGAACTCTTCATGTTTCTGCAGCAAGTAGACAGTCAGGAATTCTCCAAGACTCTTTTTGAAGCACAGAAAATTCTTGCCATGTATGAGCTGAAAGGTACAGCTCTTCTCTTGACGGCCTGTTCTTTCGGAGCCCTGGCAGTAGCAGAGAAGAAAATGTTTGATGCATTAAGTTATAAAATCATTGAAGTTGAAGAAAAGGAAGTTTTTAGAGGCAATGCGTGGAAACTGAAAATTCACCCTCTGCAAATGACACACTCCTCCACTGCAAGCATTATGATAAAGAATGAATTGACTTTAGGAACCCCCGCTGAGATCACCATTGCAGGCTGTGTGAAACAAGTAAATGAAATCTATGGTCAGCTCCTTGAGTTCTTGGAAAACAATATGAAATTTGAAAGACTGGTTGAAATTGAATCGGTTGTGATTATTAAGTACTTAAGGGCAGACAAGAATCTGTTCTGGGCAGAGATAAGGAAGGCCAATGTGCAGGCAAGTTTTAAGCTGAAAGACGAACCAAAAGGCATTTTACTAACTGGCTCCAAGAGTAAAGTTCTAGAGTGCATGAACATGGTCAAACAAATCCGGGATTCAGTCTGCATTAAAAGGTTCCAGATTGATAAGCCTGGTGCTAGGCACTTCTTCCAGGACAAAGCATCCTATTACAAAAGTGAGATCTACCGCCTGTATGGATGCATCATTGAGCTCCAGGAGGGTGCAGAGAAGGACAAAGGCAGCCTTGATGAGCAGAAGTGCCTCTTACAGAAGGACATAGCCCCTGGAGTCACGCTGATTGTACAGCAGGGAGACCTGACTCGGTTCCCTGCTGATGTGGTAGTGAATGCGGCAAATGAGAATTTGAAACACCTTGGTGGTCTGGCCCTCGCTCTTTCAAATGCAGCTGGCCCTGAACTTCAAGCAGAATGTGACAAAATAGTGAGAAAGAATGGCATGGTCCTACCTGGCATTGCCGTTATCTCAAAACCAGGCAAGCTCCCTTGCCAATATGTTGTCCACGCAGTAGGGCCTCGGTGGAACAGAAATAAGGCCCAGGAGTGCGTGAGACTATTAAAGAGAGCTGTGGAACGAAGTCTCACCTTAGCTGAGTTCGTCAAGTGTCACTCCATAGCCATGCCAGCTATCAGCTCTGGAATCTTTGACTTTCCCTTAGACCTGTGTGTGGCCACCATTGTTTCAGCCATCAAAGACTACTTCCAACGCAAGCTAGACAGGCGCACCTTGAAAAAGATTTATCTGGTGGACATATCTGCAAAGGTTGCTGGGGCCTTTGCTGAAGCTGTAGAAACTACATATAAAGCCACCCTCTCCCATGCAGCTTCGCCATTCAGTTTAAAAGCATTAAAATCAGTGCCACCTGGGAAAACATCGCAGACACCACAGACACAGGACTATGTGCTGGTGTCCCCAGAAGGCCTGAAAATCCGACTGATGAAAGAAGGTATTCAGAATGCCAAGGTGAGTGTCCCTGTCACCAACAATGTGCTGTGATGTCACTGGCCTCTGCCAGCTTTATTGAGGACCAAAGGAAGACAGGGTGGAGGGAAAGGACTGAGGAAAATTCCCTGCTCTCCTCCTCGGACCTTCAAACATTTTTCACAAATGCTGGGCTTTTTGCCAAATCACTTAGTAGTAGAGATGGATGTGTCTGTAGGGATCAAAAGGGCTCTGGGATAAGTCACTCCATCTCGGTAACTGTGGTCCATAGTAGGGGACACTGCACATCTCTCCTCATCTTCATCATTTCTGTCTGTTCTTGTCTGGTCCATCTAGTGCTGGCTTCTGTCAGTTACAGGTGTGGAAGAGCATGGGGAATGCAGAGGACAGGAATTTAACCAATGACACAAGTAAGGGTGACCTTGGGTGCTGGAGTGGATGAGGGAGCTCAGTTCCCGGAACCCATCTGTGGGTCCTTTGTGAGGAAGGAGTGAGTGGGTGGGCTGGAGGAAGGTCCAGATGTTGGAAGTCATGTAAGGACAATTCTTGTTTTGTGAATTTGTTGCAGGAGACTAAAGTTTTTTGGATAGGCTGGCACTGAGGAAGCCCCAGCAATCCTCCTGTCTCAGTCCTAAACACACACACACACACACACACACACACACACTCACACACACACATCCACTGGAGATATAGGCATGAGAAGCTACTGCTCTTGCCCTCTCTGCCTTTAATTACAACACTTGTAAGACAGAGGCAGGCAAATCTCTGTGAGTTCAAGGCAAGCCTGGTCTACATAGAATTCCAGCCCATCCTGGGCTACATAGTGAGACCTGATTTCCCTCCCTTCTTCCTGAAAAGTATTTAATACCCTTTCCAACACAGGCTCTACTCATTGAAACCATAGCTGTCCTAAGCAGGGCAGGCTAGTACCTGCTTCCTGACCAGTAGCTGCAGGTCGCTCTGCATGGTTGTAGCTGTGTCCTCCAGTGAATGTCTGTCTCACCCTTCTGATTTCTTTGGGTGGTTGGAGCTCAGAGTTGGGTGACCTGCTCTTTCTGTCACTCAGAGGCTCTGACCATTTTGTTGTTACTGTTTTGCTTTTAAGACAAATGCTTGGCTGAGGCTCAGTTGAAAGAGAGTTTGCCTAGCAGGCATGAAGTCCTGGGTTCAGTCCCTTAGCACTACATAAACATGGGTGGAGCCACAAGTCTGTAAAAGAAGCATTAGGGAGATGGAGGGAGGAGAATCAGAAATTCAATTCAAATTTATCCTTGGCTACAAAGTGAATTTGAAGCCAGCCTGGACTATATAAGACCTTGTTTTTTTTTTTTAAAAGGAAAAAAAAAGAAGAGAAGAAAACTATTACAACAACACAAAGAAAACAAACATCATAATATAAAGAAAATTTGTTAAAGAATTATTTCTGTTATTTTTTAAATACACGTGTGTATGTGTGTGTGTGAGAGAGAGAGAGACCAGGTGAGTGAATGTCACATCTGTGCGGATGCCCAGAGGCCAGAAGGCAGTGTCAGATCCTTTGGAGATGGACTCCAGGTGTTTGTGAGCCACATGAGTGGATACTGGGAACAGAACCTGGGGCCTCTGGAAGAAGAACAAATGCTCTTAATTGCTGAGCCAGCTTTCCAGCCCCTACAGTGAAAATTTTAACCAATCCTTGAAAGCTTTGTTTAAAGACCAAGATCAAAGCCCTAAATTATCTCCACTAGGTGTCACTTGTCCCCACCGATAGGTAGAGATGCTGGGTATGATAATAGATGAAATGAACTAGATGTTGTAACCCTGTCTTGCTTTGAATTGTTTTGAAGAGAAAGTGTCTTTAAGCATCCTCCAAGAACATGTCTTGGTGAGTTGTGACCACCAAATGTTGCTACTGAAACAAAAATACATCTATTTTTATTTCATGTGCATTGGTGTTTTGCCTCCATATATTTCTATATGAGACTGTCGGATCCCCAGGAACTGGAGTTACAGATAGTTATGAGCTGCCATGTGGATTCTGGGAATTGAACCCAGGTCTTCTGGAAGAGCAGTCAGTGCTCTTACCCACTGAGCCATTGCCCTAGCCCCACAATTGGACATTTTAACCTGGACATGCTGCTGCAGCATGTTCCCACAGGTTAAGCTGAGCAAAGCTAAACATCATTTTAACAGTTGGCTATTGATGGCTTTTTTTCTTAAAACAGTGTTGTATAACTCACAGTTCACATTCAAGTGGGCACATCAGTGGTTTTCAGTATATTCACTAAAAATAAACATGGAACATCTCGGTGTTGGAGCTCAGGCAGGGATAATTCTTGCAGTGTGAACATAAGTGTGTGTGTGTGTGTGTGTGTGTGTGTGTAACCACAATCATGCAGCCATACCTGCAATCTAAATGTAGTGCACTCTAATCCCACCAGAAAGAAATTTGTGCTCCCTAGTATTTACTCGTAATCTATGCACCAGCTCACCCCACCCCTCCTAGCTCTAGAGAACATCTAATCTGCTCTATTGTTTGCTTGTTTAATTTTCTTTTTGAAACCGGGTACACGGCTCTGGTTGTCCTGGGACTTGCAGTGTGGACCAGACTGATTTTAGACTCACAGAAATCTACCTGCCTCTGCCTCCTGACTGCTGGGTTTAAAGGTGTGTGCCCCAACACCTGGCTCTACAGATTCACCTGTTATTGAAGTCTCATGTAAATGAAATAATATATTTGTATCATCTGTGACCAGTTTCTTTCACTGATGAGAATTCTTTCAGGGAGGGGTTGCCTGGACTGCAGCTTGTATCAGTACTTCATCCCTCTTAGTGGCTGCATAATATCCTATTAGATGAAGATGCATTTTTTTCCCAGCCATTAACTAAAGGACATTTGAATTGTTTCCACACAGACTTTTATGAGTTTTGTTTCTTTGAACATTAATCACAAAACAACCAAGAAAGTGTTGTCTTCCTTTTGTCAAGCCCAGTGGCTCAAATGTAGTCATGGTTGATGAATGCCTTTACTAAGAATTTGAAAGGAATCTTTGGTTTTGTCTTTAAGACCCATGTGGTTGTCAACTCCATTCCCTCGGATCTTGCACTCAACAATGGACCCCTTTCTAAGGCCTTACTGGAAAAGGCCGGGCCAGAACTCCAGAAGGAACTGAATGAAGCAGGACAAGGGGTCTCTGTCAAGGCAGGCACAATTCTACAAACCAGTGGCTGTAACCTGAACTGCCACCTTGTATTTCATGTGGTCGTTCCACAGTGGAAAGTGAACGACACTGCATCGTCACTGAAGGTAGGACCCAGCTATACATTCTCCAGCCCATGGGTAGCTCTCTGGACTCCCCTACAGCACACCACAGCTACTCCCTGTCTGCTTCTTTTCTGGGACAGCATCATGAGTTGGCAGGTCCCATAGCATGGCCATTTCTTTTCAGTTGTAGATGACTTCTTGTAGGTCATAGTTCATATAGGTCATAGTTAGAAACCTAAGTTACTTATTGTGCTCAGCAATTACTGATGGTCAGGGAAGGGTTGGGGGAATATACTGCATTTATTGAGGAAAGGTAAGGTGAGGGCTTGAAGCTGGGAGACAGTGATAGACTGGGACAGTTGTGGCTTCCCCTCTTTGCTTATGGTGGAGTGAGTCTGTGCTCTTGTAAAGGTGTCCAAGTTCTCTTTCTCATCTCTTCTCCGCAGTTTCCCCCTCACTCTGCTGCTAACTTTTGTTGAAAGCACAATAGAGTGGACAGTGCTCCCAGGACAAGCTGCTGACTGCTAACTTCTTAGGGTCCCCCATTTCTAAAGAAGACATTTAAGGAAGTGCTCTGTGCTTTTCAGATCATGAAAAACATCATCAGAGACTGTCTAGGAACCACGGAGGCACTGTCTCTGCAATCAATTGGATTTCCAGCAATAGGAACAGGAAATCTGGGGTTTCCTAAACCCGAATTTGCTAAACTGATAATTTCAGAAGTGCTCAAATTTAGTAGCAAGAACCACCTGAAAACTTTACAGGAAGTTCAGTTTCTTCTGCACCCGAAGGACATCGAAAGCATTCAGGTACAGACTCCTCTTGCTTTTGATCCCTTTGCCAACTGCAGTTCAGGACCTGTGTTCTTCTACATCTTTTTGGTCTAATAGAATGTTTGTTTCATGTGTTTTCAATGCAGGATACTGGGCTGGTTATATGTAGCACGACAAATTTCAAGATAATTAGCTACAGAAGGAGAAAACCCTCTTTTTATTCGGGAAAGTTTCAAACACCCACAAATGTCCATAAACCAACCCAATGAAGTTCTATCTTTTATTCAGCCTCAACTGCTATTGCTCTGTGGCCAGGTGTTTGATTTGTTTCTCACATGTAATGTTGACACATGATTCTGTCTCTAAACATTCATCAATTCATTTTGAACATAACCTTACCACTAAAACACACCTCGAAATGGCAGTCATTCCTTTATTTGGTCAATGATAGTGTTAATGTGTGAGGTTCCAGCTGTCTCATGAATGCCTCTCCATCTCTCCATCCTTATGTCTGGATCAGAATCAAATAAGTAAGGCTCACACATTGTAATACTCATTGTATAATCAGGTAAGTAAGGCTCACACATTGTAATACCCATTATAGAATTATATAAGTAAGACTTACACATTGTAATAACCATAATAGAGTCAGATAAGTAAGGCTCGCACATTGTAATAGTCATTATAGAATCATGTAAGTAAGGCTCACACATTGTAATAACAATAATAGAGTCAGATAAGTAAGGCTCGCACATTGTAATATTCATTATAGAATCATGGAAGTCAGGCTCAAACGTTGTAATATCCATTATAGAGTCAGATAAGTAAGGCTCACACAGTGTAATACCCATTGTTTTTTATCAGCCTATGGGGTTGCCTCTCCTATGAACATAAACATGCTAATACATCATATAAAGGTACAGTTATGGCATTAACGACTTGAGAACTTTAGGATGAGATGCAGGTGATTCCTCTGGAAATGCAATTAATCACAGCATAGGATATGGCTTGAACTCATCCCCATGTGACTTAGGACACTTGGACCAGAAATACTAGAATCATCCTCAGTCACAGTGTGTCACATCAGCTATGGTAATGTGGTCTGACTCTAAGGCCTGATTTCTGTTCTCCACGTCTTTATAATCCAATAGAGCACATGACTTTAGTGTTTGAAAAGTTTCTACAATGTCACAGTAAAGGTAGCAGCCCACAGATGCCCATGGATGCGGCTGTTGAAATTTTTGGGTCCTACTTCATTATTATCCAGATCTAGACACTACCTACAAATTCATGGAAGGAAGCACAGGGAACCTACATTCTAATCGGACAGCCAAAGCTCCCGACTCCTTCAGCTTGGACTGTGTAAATACAGTGAGGTTTGTTTGTGTAGAGTTTTGTTAGACAGGTTCTTGCTAAGTAGTCCAGACAGTTCAGACTCATAGTAATCCTCCTGAATCAGCCTCCAGAATACTGGGAATATAAGTATGTATCCACTTGCCCGGCTACTAAGAGTTTTAAATAGCTTTCCTGTGACATCATGTTGTAAGGTGATGTGGACATTTCTGTAGTGCGTGCTCTCCCTTCTAGAAGTCATAACTACTTTAGAAGTTTAGATTTCTGTACACAACGTGAACAGGAGGTGGAGGAGCTGAGATTTTTGTATGATATGAATGTCTGCATGAATAGGGATGAATCCTGTCTCATAGACTTGAGTCTCCCAAACTTTATTAGGGAAATGTTGCTCTCTCTCTCTCTCTCTCTCTCTCTCTCTCTCTCTCTCTCTCTCTCTCTCTCTCAGTTTTTCAAGACTGGGGTTCTCTGTGTAGCTCTGTCTGTCTGTCCTGCACCTCACTGTATAGACTGCGCTGACCTTTGCTCATAGATCCTATTTCCTCTGCCTCCCGAGTGCTGGAATTAAAGGTGCTGCCACTAGCACCCAACTGGTCTCATTTTCTTGAATACATAGAATACTCTGTAGATCTATGAAAAGGATTAGTCTCTACCAACACCTTTAACACATTTAAATGCTATATTCTCGCTCCAACCGTGATTAAGATTTAAAGGCATCTAAACTCTTTTCATTTACAAAAAAAAGCTGCTTGTGAGCAGAGACCAGGACAGAGACTGAATAGTAGGAGTCGAAAGTCTGAACATGGCTTCTAGGCGCAGCTTCTCTGGGCTGTTTGGTTAAGAAGGGAATGTGTTTCCATGCAGACACACTGAGCAGCACAAAATGCAGAGATTGTTTAGTCAGCTTTGTCCCAGTCTCCTCTGCTGTATGATTCTAGATGAGATCATGTAAGTGTGCAATTTAATATCCTTTCCACTTGAAAGTATAAAATAAACATTTCTACATTCCTCTAAATAGTCTTTGAAAGTATAATTTTTATTGGCTACTGTTTTAACACATGGGCACGTGAAAGTGTAGAATTATTCCTCCATTGGATTTTAACTGTCTGGTTTTTGTTATAAACATCTCTCTATTTAAGAAGATTTACAACTTTGTTCACATCTATATTTTACAGGACACATTTGTAAAAAGTGTATGTATACTTTGTCTTTCATTTTGTTTTCTGATGTTTCATTTTTTGAGACAGAGTTTCTCTGTATAGGTCTGACTGTCCTGGAACAACACACTCTGTAGACTAGGGAGGCCTCAAATTTGAGATCCACCTGCCTCTGCCTCCACATATATATATATATATATATATATATATGTGTGTGTGTGTGTGTGTGTGTGTGTGTGTGTGTGTGTGCGCGCGCGCGTGTGTGTGTGTGTGTGTGTGTGTTTTTCAAGATACAGTTTCTCTGTACCTTTGAAGCCTGTCCTGGAACTAGCTCTTGTAGACCCGGCTGGCCTCAAACTCACAGAGATCTTCCTGCCTCTGCCTCCCGAGTGCTGGAATTAAAGGTGTGTGCCACCACTTCCTGACCAATATGTATATTTTTTATAACTTTAAAATATTGAGGTAAATTAAATACTACTGTTTGAGGGCTGCTATTTTCCAATCATGTGTATGTACACTGTTTGAATCCTGATGTAGTTGCCATAGAAGAGAGAGAAGCTCACCAAGATGCCAAGTCTTCATTTTCTGAATGAGTAGAGGGGTTCAGCCTTCTTGGAAGAAACTAACACCAGCTCACAGTATCTCACTCTAGTTACTTTATGCAAACAGATACAAGGTTAATAGGGGCTGGGAAATGTTCCAACTACTGAAGTCATCTTGCTTTTGCTGCCCTTGAGAGCAGACAGCCCACACATTATGGGATGCCATAGTCTGAAGTAAGAACTCCAGGATTCCAGGAGTGTCTTCAGACTAAAGTCAGCACAGCTACAAGCTCTCACAGAGCACCAAGTGCAGAGATTCCAGAAAGGCAACATTTCTTCAAGGTTGAAACAGTCTCAAAACTATTCTCAGCCTCTACCAATCAACCCAAATATAGCAAAGGTTTTCCTGAAACATGTTACCCAAAGCCAGGCACAACAGCTTTATGATACACATGACTACATGTGTGCATACAGAATCAAAACTCCCAGGACTCACACTCATTCATTATGTAGAGAGTATAATGACTAAAACTGCATTTGTATTTCCAGGCATTTGCTAATGAATTTGACAAAAGGAGTCATGGAAATCCAAGTGACACACAAGGTACAGTAAAGTGTTTAAGTTGACCAGTGATTTCTTGTTACTAAGTGATTTCTTGTTACTAAGTAACAGGGAAAGGATGATGGTGATCATTTCTCTGATAAATCAAACTATGGAACATATTAAATAAAAATTAAATGATATTCTATGCATGTGAATACAAAAGACATTGGCCTATTTAAGTGACTTGGGGCAAAAGGGAAAGGTGGCCAGATTATATAATCTGTACTGTGGGATTTTTAAATCGCTGATGAGACTACCACTTCCAATGAATCATGTGACATGTGTTTTCTAAGAGACAGCTTAAGAGACAATAGAAGCCAATTCTTCACTGTGACACGTGGTTTTCTGTTTCTGAGTTCATCTTGTTTGGGGTTCACTGAAACTTTGTTATGAAGCAAGGTTTTGCTACATTGCCCAGGATGGCCCCCAAACTCCTGAATTCAAGCCAACCTCCTGTCCCAGCCCAGACCCAGGGATACAGTAAAAGACAGCCAGTACAGTGATGGGATAGTCTGAGACCTCAACTGTTCTTGCTTCTGATGACTTGGTGCCTAATTCTGTCTTTTCTTTTCTCTGGGCAGGGTTTTATGGGACTCTCTCCAGTCCTACATTAGGAGTGCATGAAATGAATATTGGCCCGATCCTCTTCCAAGTGGCCACGGGGGACATCACCAAAGAAGCGGCAGATGTGATTGTCAATTCAACATCAAACACATTTACTCTTAAATCAGGTACTTAGTGAGATGGATTCTGTCTCCTGTAGTAATCAGTGTGGTAGATCCTATGAAGAAGTGTTTCTATAGACAGAATGTTTTTTGTCAACTTGGGCTTGTTCCTGTTAACTAATATCTATAAACCTAATTCAATGGGCATTCTTCCAACTGGCAACATTTTTAAAAAATGTCTCCTCTGTTCTTACTGCTCTATGATGGGGTGTGTTGAGACACAAAGGAATCTTTCTGGTTAGGTCTCAGTCTTGATTTTCTCATGTAGGAGTCTCCAAAGCAATTTTGGAGGGTGCAGGACCAAGTGTGGAGAAGGAATGTTCTGTCTTGGGTAAGGAACGATGCTGCTTCTTGGAGCCGGATTGGAAGTGGAAGACTGACTGTGGGAGGCTGTGAGGAAACCGAAGAAGGGCCTTGGGCTGGGAGGACAATGTATACATCATTTTTGGTTTTGTTTTGTTTTGAGACCCCTGTATTTATCTTAAGATCGTATATTTTATGAAAGAATTCCATATGAAAGAAAGTTAAAAGTGGAAAGTTATCATACAGTTAAGAGAAATTCAGTCAAAAATTTCACGATATGTAGTATTTCATAAGCTTTTAATTCATAAAATGTTCCTCGTGAAATCAGACATCTTGTTTTCTCCAAGCACAGGTCAGTGTCTGACTCTGAATCTGCTCATGTTTCACAGCTCAGCAGAACAGTGAGTACATAGTTACTAAAGGTGGATCACTGAGATGCAAGAGTATTATTCACGTTGATGGTGGGAACGATGTGAAGAGATCAGTTTCCTGTGTTTTGAAAGAATGTGAACAACGGAACTACTCATCCATTTGCCTACCAGTCATTGGCACAGGTCTGTAACCACAGGCTGTCAAGGCTCCATCCCAAAGTGTTGATTTCCCCATGGATTTGGTCCTCACTGGGACTGGGTGATGACAGGGACACCTTTCCTAGGAGTAGACAGTTTCCTCACTCCAAGGCACCCTGTCCTCTAGGGAATGAACAAAGCCTGTGAACTCTTTTATTATAAGGAGGAAAATGAGCAGGGTGCATTTATGTGTACCTGTGATCTCAATGGCTGGAAGGACAGAGGCAGGAAGAGTGACCTATATCCTCACAATTGTCTACAAGGTTAGTCAAAGGCATCTACTATAATTTCCTGCCCTAGTGGTGAACACCATTAACAGGAATAATTCAGATGGGTTCTTAGTCTATCAAACCAGCTGGCCCAGGGGACTTTTACATTGCCTGTCATGTGACTTTGGTGCTGCCATTCACTTTGGGATATTCCACAGTCTTACCTTGCCAGTAGGTTCCAGGGCTTGAGAAAGAAGATCTGAACACGGTGAAGACAGGAGTGGATCTACTCAGTGGCTGCTTTGAATTCTGCTGGGCAGCTAAAATGGTACAAAGTATGGGGAAGAAAAACATTATGGAGGCTCAAGCTAACTAATAGGCCTAGAATTATAGACTATAGCAAGTATTTTACAGTTTTGGGTGCCTTAAAATTACCTTAGTTTAAATCAGGTCCCCAGAGGTGCCTGGCAGAATCCCAACACATGCATAAAATCTATCAGAGGTTCAGATTGTCTCTGTAAGGACCATGTTGTTTCAAGATGTGTTATCATTTTTTCTTTTTCTTTTCTTTTTTCTTTTTATTTTTGCCTTTTATGATCTTTTGAAGACAGTACTAAATCAAGGTGTGAAAATCACTTGGACTCTGTAATGGGAGGGGAGTGACCCTGAGAGCCACGGTCAGCTGAAAAGGACAGATGTGAATGTCACAAATAAGAACTGGTTTCAGGGGCTTTTTCTGGAGCTTTGACCTGTGAACGGCATGGGACAGAAACACCTCCCCATCCTGTCTAGGATGTCAAAACTGTTTGATGACATATTGTTAGAAAACTATACATTGATTAAAGTGGGACCGAGTATATCATGAGGGCCTGCTTGTTGGAGTTTCTGTCCTGTCCAGTTCCTGCAGTCCTTAGGTCCCAAAGAAAATCACACAGAGAGTCTACATTAATCATAAATTTATAGGCCCATTAGCTCAGGCTTCTTATTAACTCTTGCAACTTGTATTAACCCATTATTCTTATCTATGTTAGCCAGATGGTTTGGTACCTTTTTTAGTGGGGCAGGTCACATCTTCCGTCTTGTGTGTCTGGGCAGGACTGTGAGGAATGGGCTTCCTCATTCCCAGAATTCTCCTGTTCTCACTGACCCACCTCTACTTCCTGCCTGGTTACTGGTCAATCAGCATTTATTTAGAACATAATTGACAGAATACAGAATTGTCTAATACCAACCAAGCATTTTTATTTCCTGTGACATCTGAAATTCCTTGTTTATGTTGCAGCCTTTTGCAAGTGGATCTTAATTTTGTCTTTTTGTGTGTGGATGTTTTAAAGGAAGTGCTCAACAAAACCCAGATGCAGTTGCTAAAGCCACAATGGATGCCATTGAAGAATTTATCCAGAAAACATCAGTGCAGGCTGTGAAGAAAGTCAAAGTTGTTATCTTCCAGCCTCATATCCTGAGTGTTTTTTATGACAACATGAAAGACAGAGAAGGCTCCCCGGCTCCTCCCCAGCCGTCTCTAGTGTCTAAGATCACCTGTGAGTTGTTCACTTTTTTCAAATACATATTCCTCACCTTGATGCTGAGGGGAATAAAAGACAAATTTATTGTCATTTTTCTCTTTAGCCTTTTTTGGCTTTTCAAAGCCCACGCCCCCCAAACAGAACACCCTGCTTTTGGAGAAGAAAATAGAGCAAACAGTTTTCCAGGTATGTGGCATAGATGAAGACAGTGTGGAACGCACGATCTCCTGGATACAGAATCTGATCACCCAGGAGCAGCATTCCTATCGCAGTGACGATGAGTGTGTCAGAGACTTTGGTGAGAAGGAGTACAAGAAGCTGAATGAGCTGCAGGAGAGGCTGAATATCGTCATTGAGCTGGACCAGAAGGCACCTTTGATTAAAGTTGCAGGAATTAGCAGAGATGTGATAGGAGCTAGAGATGAGATTGAAAACCTGATCAAGAGCATCCGATTGGTTAAAGAGAAGGAAAGCCAGGCAGACTATGTCCTCACATTTGTGGAATGGCGATATATTGTCAACAACGTCATATACTGTTTTGACAAAATAGCTACCGTTCAGTTGGAGGACGCACGGCAGGCAAAGCAGACGAGCACTGTTGTCAAAATTAATAATCGGGACTTCACTGTGAACTTGAAGACGAACACGGCCACAGGCCCTCAAGGACAGAGTGTCACAGTTCAGCGCATCCTAAAAGATGAAGGTAAGTTACATGCGCATGTGTGTCAGCCATTACCTCAACTCTGAGTTTAACATTGTTTTAGAAATAAAATAGGGTTTTTTGTTGTTGTTTTTGTTTTTTGAGACTGGTTTCTCTGTGTAAGAGCCCTAGCTGTCCTGGAACTAGCTCTTGTAGACCAGGCTGGCCTTGAACTCATAGAAGTCCTACCTACCCTCTGTCTCTGAGTGCTGGGATTAAGGGCATGTGGCACCACTACACAGCTTATTTCTGTTTTGACAGTGTTTTACTATGTAGCCTTCGCAGGCCAGAAATCTTTTGCTTTGTTTTTGAGACAGTGTTTCAGTATAGCCCCTGGCTAACTTTGAAGGTAGTTCAGGCTAGGCTCAAACTCATAAATTTGTCTGTTTCTGCCCAATTCTATTCCCATCTTCTCTTTCCTGAGCCAAAGGTTCCTGGGTACCAGATCAGGAGGCGGCCTACCAGTTCCCCATGGATCTGATCCCCAAGAAGGGAGTGGCTGTCTTGTGTAGGCTGTCATTCCTGCCTTCAAACCACATGAGTCCCCTTTGGCTTCCCACAGACTATATTCATTTTCTGTAGAATCAGTGTGAATGAACCTCTCAGACTCTAAGAAATTCCCATTTTAAGGAATGACATAGCTTATGTAGTGTTCTAGGCCTGCAACAGACAAACCCTGTCACCCACCCACCTACCTCTTAAGGATGGAGTGAGGCAAATGAGAAAATACATGTAGACTACCCTCCAGTGGTATAAACTCATGCATGTGCAAATGACAGAGACTGTTCAAAACAAGTTAGTAATGAATTTGTTAAATCACGTCAGAGTAGATGCTGTACACTAAATGAAGGTGAGTTACAGCATGTAGTCAGTTCTCACACCTTAGCAAGACCGAAACAGGAGTAGGCAGAGAGGCTCCATCCCTAGGAAACCCTACCTCAGTACATCGATGGCTTTTGTCTTCTTCTGGAGGAGGGTGCTGGGAAACAAGTCTCATATGTGTCAGGCAAGAGATCTATCACTGCGCTATCTCACCTTAAATCACCTGCCTCTTCTAAACATTTTTTCCATCTCATCCTGATACCAATGGTCCATGCTCCATGCTTTTAACAACATCCATTTAGAAAGATAAGAAATTTCTTGAATACATAGAATTGTGAGACTACAATACAGCAGGGAGGCAGGTTTGTCAAAGCATACTGGAAATGAACACAGGAGCCCTCAAATGTCTGTTTTGCAGCTGAAATCCCTTCAAATTGGTGTGACATGGGGCTGAGGGAATTGCTTGAGGTCAGTCTGCAAACCAGTACTTCTGAGTATTTCATGGTGGCAAGCAAGTTCCGCCAGACCTGCCCAAACTTCGTCATATGTAATGTAAGTCATATGAGAATGTAAGTCAGCTGCTGAGGTGTTTTCTAATGGAAAAGTTACATTATTATATAAGTGATATAACCCATGTTCCCGAATAAGCCCACTCATATATGGGACTGGGAGGTGGCTCAGGAGTTAAGATTTTGTTTTGTGCTCTCAGAGGACCCCAAGTTCCAAGTTTGGTTTCCAGATCCACTCAGGTAGCTTATGACAGCCTGAAACTGTGGTGTCTAACTAGCCAACCTAACTCGGTGCATTATCTCCAGGCCAGTAAGACAGACTTGTCTGTGTGTGTTAGTGTGTGTGTGTGTGTTTGTGTGTGTGTGTATGTGTGTGGAGGATGGGTAGAGGGAAGGGGGCTTTTACATATGTAGAATTCAGAGTCTGATTTTGTGGAGTCAGTGTTCTCCTTCTGACTTTAGGGATCAAACTCATGTCTCCATATTCTTCCTGAGCTGTCTTACCAGTCCTCAAGTGCTTTTTGAACACAGGATGCTGTCACATGGCACCGAATGTCCTTGAGTAGAATTTTTGCTCATGAAAGACAAAGATGGTAATTTGCTATCACTTGGTAAAAGTTCTTTGCATCTCCAGAATAACTTAATACTTTATTAATTTGTAGATTGAAAGGATCCAGAATCTAGCTCTCTGGAAAAAGTACCAGGCAAGCAAAACAGTCATGGATAGAAAGAATGGCCATGAAAGAAATGAGAAACAACTCTTCCATGGGACGGAGGCTAGCTCTGTTCCACATGTCAACAACAATGGATTTAACCGCAGCTACGCTGGGAAGAATGGTGAGGAAGGATACAGTCAGATTCCCCAAATGGGCTGTTGACTTGGAACCGCCCTGGGCTCCATTCACTGTGTTCCTCATATTATAGTAGTAAATAGTGATACATTCAATTTCACCCTAAGGTCTTTACTACTTCTGAGAAGAAATATTAATAATAATGATGGTGATGTTAAAGAAAATATTCAAAATATTCAAGCCAAGCATTCCTTTTACATTTGTTGACATAGTGGGCTAACATGTTGTTTTATATGCTACATTGAACTCCTTTAATATGTCTTTCTCTTTGCAGCCACGGCCTATGGAAAGGGAACCTATTTTGCTGTTAATGCTTCCTATTCAGCTAATGATACATATTCCAGACCAGATGCCAACGGGAAGAAGTATATGTATTATGTGCGGGTTCTCACTGGGAACTATGCAAATGGAAACCCATCACTGATTGTGCCTCCCCCAAGGGACCCTCAAAATCCTACTGAATTGTACGACACCGTCACAGATAATGATAAAAACCCAAGTTTGTTTGTAGTGTTCTATGACAATCAAGCATACCCAGAGTACCTCATCACCTTTAGGCGGTGACACTTCAGGGCACCTTCATGCATCTGCTGCAAGACAGATTTTAGCAGTTTCCTACTTATGCTGCCTCTAAGAGCACAAGGTCTTTCATTGCCATGGACATGTTTCCTCAGCTGCTCCTCCACGGTGGAAATGAATCCACTTGAGAGCCAATCTAATTGAAAATTTACATCAGGTAACAGCTGAAGCCATGCTATCTCAGATGTGACAGTAACACCATCACGGACTTTCAGGACGCCACACAATTCTGGCTGCCACCAGTGGAATCGTGTCAGAGAGGCAGTGTGCTGTGGGTACACACAGTGTCACTGAGCCAGTAAGGCTGCCAACTGCAGCTGAACAGATCCAGAGCAGAGAACCTGTTCCTTCACTAACAGCCCTGTGTCATGTGGGCTGGACAGCTCCAGGCAGGGCTATGTACAAAATGGGTGCTGGCAGATGGCGTGTGATTGGCGTGAACTGAGCATCAAGGAGGGGCATTGCTCAGAAGCCATGGCCCAATTGCTAGAGGCCCTGGCAATGTCAACTCCAGTGTTCTAGTACCACATTGAATGCAATGTGAATACTCCTGCTGTATCTCCAGGGAAAGCCCTGTGAGAATGAGTGAACGCCGAGGAGATCTGCTAGCGTCTTTCCCAGGGCAGGCAAGCTTGTGATGACTTCACAGCTTTGTGTGTAAGCCAATTAGTCAGGCTGCTAACTCAGAGTCTTCTGGATGGTAATTCTTTCTTGTGGTACTGAGGACTGAACCCAGGGCTTCACACATGCCAGGAAAGTCTCTACCACTGAGCTACACACCTCTTTACTTCTTATGTTGAGGCAGGATCTCGTTTAGTTGCACAGACTGCCTCTGATATCCTTCCATAGCCTTGGCAGGCCTTGAACTCACTATCTTCCTGCTTTGGCTACCTGTCAGAGGCCTGTGCCACCAGACCTGGCTAACTTTGTTCTTCTAATTTTCTCCTGTCAATTTCAGACTCAGTGCTGTTTATTGAGTGCCTAGACTTGTAACATGAGCGGCCAGGCTTGTTGGGGTTTCTGTCCCGCCTGGTACCCCACAGTCAGCAAGCCTCAAAGAAAATCACACAGAGACATCAGCCCTCATTGTTACAAATAGCACCCACGTGGATAACTGCATCCACAGAAAGCCTGAGAAAGCTTGGGAAAGACTAGAGTAAAGCATTTTGATTTTCAGTCATTGCAGGAAAAAAGCTGTGCTGTTTTAAAATGCCAGCTTTCTGGGCTGTCCTGCCAGGGAAAACTCTTACTCTTTCAAGCAGGAAGTCCAGACTGTGGAGCTATGGACACACTCTTGCAGCTTGCTTCTTGGCAAGGACCTTGAAATGCCATAGGAGCTTTTGAGTGTTGTTTATGACACACTGTTGCAGCTTGCTTGCTGACAAGGACCTTGAAACTCCATAGAGTTGTGGCAAAAAAACATGGCTACAGATGGTGCCTCCACCATGAGGGTGGAGTTTCATAAAGCTAAGGAAGGGGCTGGATCTAGTCGTCAAAGCCATGGCTTTAATCTTCTCCTTATTCCTTAGCAAATTAAAGACCCACATGATCATAAAAAGAGAGATATACAGTAAAGAGAGATTCAAAGAGGAAGAATACCTCTAAGTGGTTTACAGTTTGTTAATATATATTATATATAATAATATATATATAATTATATATATAATAATATGTATAATTATATATATATATAGGCTAAAGGTTAAAGTTCTCAAAGTAAAAAAGAAAGAAAGAAAGAAAGAAAGAAAGAAGGAAAGAAAGAAAGAAGGAAAGAGAATAGCCAGTTGTGGTGGAGCACGCCAGTAGGATTTGCCTGGGAGGCAGAGACAGACATATCTCTGTGAGTTCAAAGATAGCCTGGTTTACTGAGGGAGTTCCAGGACAAAGAATACACAGAGAACCTGTCTCAAAAAGCCAAAAGTTAAAAGTAAAAATAAAAGAAATAGAGATTAAAATAAAGCCACATAAGGATGGAAAATACACAGAGAATCTTGATACTGTATGCTATTATGCTCTCTTTAAATTGTTTGAATGCTGAGGAAGGAGCAACAGCTGCCAAAAGATATTTGCTTATAAATGCTGCAGAATTAATCCAAGATAGGTATTTTGAAAATACCTTGACTTCAAAATTGAAGTCAAAAGGTATGTTAGTTTGGAGAAGAGATTTTGCTTTTGTTTCCAGAGAAAACAAGAGGCTCTGGATTTATTCAGAGTTAAGAAAAATCAGCTTTGATCAAGGAAGACCACCTGAGAAATCTCCGGCAGGAATAGATGGCCCAGATGTCTGAGTTCTACATCCAGAACAGATTTAAGACTGCTGCCTGAGATGATCAAGACTCACAGGATACTCCAATCAGGACTTGATTATAACTCTAAATTTTCTTTAGGTCCCCATAAGATTATCAGTGCCCCCAACCAGCTGGAAGTAGCCTGGAATACTATGCCCACATTCCCAAAAGATGGACTATGGATATTTTCCTTTTTTTTTTTTTTTAAAGAGCGGAAAGTGGTGCCGGAGAATGGTCTGTAATCTGTCAATCATGTTTTAAATAAATGCTGATTGGCCAAGCAGGAAGAATAGACAGGAAAACCAGACAGGAAGTGGAAATGATGCAATGAGAACAGGATCATTCTGGGAAGGAGGAAGTGGATTCCCCCCAGTCCAGTGCAGAACACAGAGCAAGCAGGATGTGACCTGCCAGCTGAAAAAGGTACTTAGCCATATGGCAAAAATAAATCAGAATGATGGGTTAATATAAGCTACAAGAGTTAACAAGAAGCTTGAGCTAATGGATCCAATCAGCTTTATAACATATAGAGATCTCTGTGTGATTTTCTTTGGGGCTTGCTGGCTGTGTGGTACCAGACAGACAGAAACTCCAACAAGCCTGGCCGCTTATGTTACATAGACTTTTCCAGGTAGAGTGAGAGATGCAATCACAAACATGACCTTGTTTCCATGAATAGTGCTTTGGGAAGAGTTTTTCCATATTTCAGGGCTTAAGAGAACATGTTCAGAGTACAAGAAACGTCCTTGCCTGAGCTCACTGAGGCAGGAACCCTGAGAGCCAGCTTACTGAGTCTTGGTGCTGGTGTCCAGCCCTTCTCTATTCCCACCACAGAACCTGGCCTTGAGAGAAGCAGGTGCTGTTTCGGCCATCACTCAGTGGCCATCACACAGTGACTATCAATGAGTGGTCATTACTCAGTGTTCCTCACATGGTGGTCATTAGATGTGACCTTCATGCAGTGGCCATCACAGTCGCAAGTAACCAATGTCTTTGAAGTTACCTCAGATTTCCCTGGCTTTTTTTCCTTCTGAATTTGGTGCCCACTCTACTTCTTATTAGGAGTTCTGTATGCCAAGGAGCTAGTGTTGTGTAACATTCTCGGGTGGCACATCCTGGGTGTTGGGAAGATTAAGGTGCTGCTTCCCACCATAGGGATCACCAGGGGACCTCAAGTGGAGCAAGGGTCACCATTGCTGCCACAACAACACAGAAGCCTTGGAACCTATGCTACTCTTTCTAAGTGGATGGGCACAGACTGTGGCTTAGGAGGGGCTGGTTTCCTCTGCACTAGCATCTGAACTCAGTGCCAACAGTGGTCTAAAGAAATGGAATAAAAGCCGGGCGGTGGTGGCGCACACCTTTAATCCCAGTACTCAGGAGGCAGAGGCAGGCAGATCTCTGTGAGTTTGAGGCCAGCCTGGTCTACAAGAGCTAGTTCCAGGTCAGGCTCCAAAACTACAGAGAAACCCTGTCTCAAGAAAAAAAAAACAGAAACAGAATAAAAATGAGAGGTCTGTTATCATCTGCTTTTGACCTTCAGTGATTTAGTTAACTCAGGGCAAGGCTGAATAGCCAGATGTTACACTGTGGAATAAAGACCCAACCAGCAAATGTCACAGTGACCTTCAGTTTCTTCTCACTTCTAGTAAAATTACTTGAAAAATGTCTCTCGGTAGAATCATTTTTTCCCCTAAAGGGCAAACATGGGGAGGGTCTGTGTAGGTCAATGACTTACAGTAGACACAATTAGCAGGAAAGCACTGAGGGTCCTTAAGGTACCAATGCTCAGTTGGGAACTACGGGAGGGGCATCATGCAGTTTAAGGTTCAGAAAGCCTGGAGCCCTAGACTGATCTGGATAGCTCGGAGTAGGACCACACAGTCTATGCTCCTTGGTCACTCAAAGAATGTGCTGAAGGCTCAGTCTGTGGTGCCCTCCATGCCATACAGAATCTGCTTTCAGTGGGCACCTGGAGGATTTCAACAGCCCTGACACCCAGGGCCACACCAGGACTTTGGGGCCTAGGAACTTCACCTTTGTAGTCCCTTGGTGCATAAACAAAATTAAAACACAGGGGCTGGAGAGAGGGCTCAGTGATTAAGAGCATTTGCTCTTGAAGAGGATGTGGGTTAAGTTCCCAGCCCCCATATGGAAGTTCATGACCACTTGTTACTATAGTTCCAGGGAGCCAATGTCTGCTTTCTGACCTCTGAGGGAACTGCACACATGTGAAACACATACATACATACATGCAGGCAAACACACATATTCAATAAAAGAAAAAATCTTTTAAAAATATTCAAACTATACAACTATACTAACTACATCCACATATATAAAGACCTGATCGAGTTATTTTATTAAAACAAACAAACAAAAAAATGAAACCTTTTCATGAAGCCTTGAAAGCACAGTGGTCCTAGCCACCATACCTACTGAAAACAAGGTGGATTTGTTAGCCCTGCTGACTCAGATACAACTCAGCTGGACACTACGGGAGTGTGTGAGCTCCGATGGCCTCTGCAGAGCCCAAGGACTTCTTTACCAGTTGGTATTTCTCACTCAGCTGTGGTGCTCTAGAGCAGGATGGGGTGGGAGCCAGGTCATGCTGGCTTTCTCTGTGCTCACCCTCTGCTACCTCCTGGCAATCAGCCAGGGACTCACAATCTCTCCAGAACATCAGGGAACCCACTCCCATTACCGGATTCTACCCACATTGTATGAACTCTTCCCAGGTCTTTGTATAACACCTTTCCTTCCCAGAGAATGAAAGACTTCCCTACAGTAGAACGTCCAAGCTTCTCTGAGCCAGGCCTACACTGAGTCCATTCTGTGTCAGTCCATGCCTTCAGAGAACCTAGACTGCCTCGTGAGAAACTTGCCTAGAAGCAACATTTGCTGAGGAGTGTCATCAAATAATGCCCATGCTGGAAACTAAAATCTGTTCGTACCCTTTAAAATCATAAGAGAGCTGTAACCCAGCCCTGACTGTATTGGTGTTGTTTATAATAACACAGCTGCCTAGAGTTCCAGAACTCATCAAATCTGCCTGCACAGGATGCCCACAGGATACTGAATCCTGAGTGATTCTTGGGTTATCTCTTTTTTTCCTCCCCATTCCATACAGATCTCAGTCCTTCAAAATGTTTTAATGATTCACAGGTGAGACATCTATAATAAACCAAAAAGTACCTGAAGAAAGAGATCTGTTTCCATGATGGAATCAAATCTAAGAACAGAAACAGCTCTGGCCACAGCATGCTCCATGCCAAGGCCACTGGTGAAGCATTGCTCTCTTGTCTGTCTACTCAAAGATCTAGGAGTGTGCTGTGCTCCTTACATGCTGAGCAATGGCCCAAGTTCTGTGAATGAAGCAGTAACTGCATAAAACTCCCTATTTTCATGGAGTCACATTGTGCTGGGGGAAGAGGAGACCTCTGAGGACTAAGAGAGAAAACAAACAGCCACACAGGCTGGTTGATGTCCATGTGTGTATACATACAGGTTGGTCAGTACTCCTGTGTAGACATGAGTGAGACAGATCCTCCTTTCAACCTCCCTTCTCACTCTAGACACTACCGTCTAGTTGTTTAAAGCATCCCATTGGAATGTATGCAGCAATACATAGGAGACAAAAATGCCAAAAATAAATAAAGTCTCACCCTGTAACATCTGGGGTAACTCTAGCTTTTGGTAGATCTGTGAGAACCCTGCTGGCTGGTCCAATAAACTACGCCCTGTTAAAAGAGGTCTCACGACCTCGAAATCTTCAGCAACATCATGTTCATTGGGAAAGATGAACAATAACCAGACAGACAAACATAGGGGCCAGAGTAGGGCAGCTCTGCAGGTGGCTGTGGACCACCCCATTCTAGGAATCACGGTTACCAGTGCTGGGCCAGCAGTGCTGAGACTGGGAGAAGGGAACAGCGAGGCTCTGCTTGAGGCCTCTGCTGGACGCCTTCAGTGCTGTGCTCTGTTTCTGCTTTCTGCACCACACAGTCTCACACCCACTCTGCCACAGCAATCTTAAGGCCGCCATAGATGATGGGAAACAGATGGCTTGTGGAGGTCCAATAAACATTTACAAGAATAAGCCAGCGCAGTGGCATATGCCTTTAATCCAGGCACTCGGGAGGCAGAGGCAGGGGGATCTCTTTGAGATTGAGGCCAGACTGGACTACATAACTCTTCCAAAGCCAGCCATGGCCTCTCAGTGAGGTCCTGTTTAAAACAAACCAAAACAAGA